ATATTGTCACTTTCTTCTAATATAATTGTCATAATAGTTTCTATGGGTGTGAAGATATTCCTTAGATGAGATTTTCTAAGGCTAAAAGAAAATGTTGGAACATATTAATTATCATATGTTCACAGTCTAAATAGAACATGATGATGTAGTGTCTCACATTAGTCATAGTCTCTAGTATTCAACCTCCCATAGCATGCAAATTGGTGGAATTATCAGTGAGAGATGCGAATGATGATATAATTAATGAAAAGATGGCATGCATTGTTTCATCACTATAAGAAGTATCGAATGCTGTAATACGAAATATTTCGCTAAGGCAAAAAGCAACTATTACTTTTATAGCAAAATTTGGATGTTTTAAAAGTTCGTCAAAGACCAATGTTGTAATAAGTGTAGAAAGGGATGCGAGAATGGACATAGTAGGTGATTGGTCAACTTGTGCAAGTAAGTTTTTAGTTTCTTCAAGTAAAGATAGGAGTTCATCAAAAGACGACAAAGGCCGAAGAGGTTGTTTCCCATTTTTTAACAATTGGACTCCTAACTTTTGATATTCATGCCATAACATGTTTCATTAACTCATCAAGAACTCCTCGTTGTCAGCGCTATCCACTCTTTAACTTGCCTACATCTGACAACCTACTCTCACTACCATAATGTTTTTTTTTTTAAAACTAAAATAGCTAGTATACTAAAGATGAACAAACTACTGTGATTTTTTTATTTTTTTGGGAACTGACTAAGAAAGCTATTGCTTAAATTTTTCTTATATTTCATGATAAAAATGTATGGTGGTGGAAGGTTGGAATTTTGAGGCGGTATATGCATTGAATGGAATGGAGTGGGTGATATATGGAATGGATGGAAACGACTGGTGAACAATTGAGCATGAAAGATGTTAAGTCAAAGAAAAATGAACTGATTTGATACCAATGCAAGATGCGTAGAACTTGTTAAAGAACAATCGAATGTTAAGAAAAGAAAGGGATCCAAGAAGAAGAGAATTGAGGGCAAGAAAAGAAAAGAACAACCGATGACATGGCACACCATTTAACTGGTGAATCAGATTCACCAGTTAAATGGTGTGCCATGTCACCAATACTTAACATAAGTTAAGCACCAATATTTATGAGATCATTTTTGTATGTGTATATATATCATTAATTAAGTCACCAAATATGGGCCAAGAAAAAAGGTAAACAGGAACCAATAAACCAGTAGCCTAAACCAATAAATGGGCTACAAAACCATTATCACCTCCAACTACTAACTTGGGCCATCAAAGAGTACTGGTCACGAGTAACATTAACTCAATCAAGTTACTTCTAGTGTCCCCAAGTTGTTTTCGAGCCGAGCCATCTCTAAAATGTCGATATAAATTATCCAACATTGTTTTAGCTCCAAAACGGTTGCTAAATTCTCTCTCTTAGTGCATACGTTTTTCTTTCTCTTTTTTTCTCACAAATCACGCACATATGGCTAGGGCAAAAGACATATATAGAGGATTAGGTTAGGCTTCAGTTGGACCAATAAGAGGGTTAAATGGGCCAAGATTCAATGCCATCCAATATGTAGATATATATGAGTCGTGAGTAGTATTAATATCTGAAGTTATTTCCAATGGTCCACGTTATTTACTGGTCGAATTTTTAGACTTGGTTGTTGGTAACGATTTCACTCACAATGCCTATGAAATTCAATTCGGTGTTTATATCATAGTCCGGGATTCATTGGGTATCAAAACCCAACAATCTTATTGAGTTTGTTGAATGATATGATGTATTTGTCTCTTTGAGTAAAAATGGAGATTGATGGACATGGCTAGGGCAAAAGACAACATATATAGAGGATTAGGTTAGACTTTAGTAGGACCAATAAGAGAGTTAAATGGGCCAAGATTCAATGACATCCAATATGAAAATATGTATAGGTTGTGCATAGCATTAATATCTTAAGTTATTTCCAATGGTCCACGTTATTTACGGGTCTAGCATTTGGACTTGGTTATTGGTAACGATTTCACTCACAATGCATATGAAATTCAGTCCGATGTTTACATTATAGCCCGAGATCCATTGGGTATCAAAACCCAATAATGTTATTGAGTTTGTTGAATGATGTGATGTATTTGTCTCTTTGAGTAAAAGTGGAGATTGATGGACATGGCTAGGGCAAAAGACAACATATATAGAGGATTAGGTTAGACTTTAGTTGATCCAATAAGAGGGTTAAATGGGCCAAGATTCAATATCATCCATATGTAAATATATATGGGTCGTGAGTAGCATTAATATCTTAAGTTATTTCCAGTGGTCCACGTTATTTACGGGTCAAGCCTTGTGACTTGGTTGTTGGTAACAATGTCACTCACAATGCCTATGAAATTCAATCCGATGTTTACATCATAACCCGAGATTCATTGGGTATCAAAACCCAACAATGTTATTGAGTTTGTTGAAGGCTGTGATGTATTTCTCTTTGAGTAAAAATGGAGATTGATGGTGTGCCTGTGGATGCATGCTGGGTTATATGTGTGAGTCTGCATTGAACTTGTTAGACAGGCATGAATATGCCTGGAGGGAACATGAGCAGGCACTAGGGGTGGTCAATGTGGGTGCCTTGCTCCCTGGGAATGGTGGTGGTTTGGTTGAGAGATTTATTTCCACCTGCATGCATCATATGTATTTCTTTTACAAGTTCTCTAAGAAAAAGAAGCAAAAAGTTACTAGGAAGTTATAAATACTCCATTTCTTATTGCTATACGTAAAACTTACTCTTTAAATAGTAATTGTGCAAGAATGAGATGTAATTTCATGCATTGCAAATGTTAATTTTAACCCTACCTTGAAATATGTACATTAACATACACATGAACCACAGGTATGGTACTTTATATGATTTTTTAAGGTTAATTTTTATTTATTTATTTTTCTTGAGAAGTTATTTAGTACCAGCAATAATTCAAATATTTTTGCTTAAAATTATAGCTATAGAGTAGATTGTACAGCAAGACATGATTTTCGCACAAATAACATTTTTCCAGATACCAGGAAAAAACTAGTAAAAATCTGCTCTTTCTTCCCCCATTGAACAAAAATGTGAAGTTTGGAGATATACACAATGCTTAGCCAACCATGGCAAAACGAGATATCATCACAATAAGCCATGGCAAAAATATGCACATCCCACTGAGAATAGCATTATTTAAATGCAAAATTTGAGCTGTAAAAACTCCCCCTGGAACTTGGACTTGTATGTTGGGAGCAGATTAATTGAACCAGAAGACCTACATAAATATAACAAGTTACCATGTGATAATGTATTACGAGGTTGGAATCAGGAGAGTAGAGTTGTGGAGGTAAATTTCACAAAATTTTATTTCTAGGGTAAAATTGAAAATTATAAGGATTTTTTTTTTTTTTTTAAGAAAATATTGTGTAAAATCTTGAAAAATTTATTGTAAAATCTTGGATTTCAAATTAAGTGTGGGACAGGTAAATCCGATTGGACAGAATTTGAATCAAGGTATTTAAGCATATTATTACCCTGAAGATTTATAGCTGGCAGGGAAGACGAATTATATCTCTAGAACAATATCTGCAACTTGAAGAACAGATGCAATTAGTTTATTTTTACTTGAACAAACCAACCTCTGTGTGCATAAATTTCTCGTCAACTTACATTCTGAGTCTGTTTTCACCCATTTACTTCCTTCACTTTCACTTTCACTTTCACTTTCAGGCATATACAAGTATTTCTTTGCGGTAGTCATTTGAGTAGAACTTTGGGGGTAAATCTTTTTCTGTAGGATATCCCCTAAAATCTGTCATGAAAAGGCATCCATGAAACTACAGATGATTGACAGGGAAAATAAATAATATACATAGACTGCATATGTTATATTTGCAAGTATTTGTTTATGATGCATTCTTAAAATTAATCCATACCTTCTCCATTTTTGATTTATCCAATTTTGGCTCTGGAAATGGATCCCTTAAGAAGGGAGCTGAACTGAATCCGCCTCCACAGAGGAATGCTTTCTTAAAAAGAAAAGACAATGACTTTTTACCAATACTATTTGCTGTGTTATGCAATCGAATATCTGATTCTCTGCTAGGGACTACACTGATCGATTGCTGGAGATTACTGTCTTTGTTTTCTGAATCACCATTTATCGACTTATCGGAAGTTTTATTATGTTCCAAGCTAGGCAAACAGTCAATGTGCTTTTCCGATTTAAGGTTATCTTTTGGCTGATCCTGACAGGATGATAAGCTTTGTTGAAGATTGGAATTTTCTGGAAGTTTCAGAGCGCTGTTTCCAAGTGTTCCAATAGAAAGCAATCCATTTGGCCAATCACTGAATTCTTCTTTACAGGTTTGGTGCATGATATGATCTGGTAAGTAAGAAACAATGAGAAAACAGCTGATGGTCTTTTAGGGTAACAGCATTCTGTGATTTCTACATAGATCATTACCACTATGCGTACACTAATGAAAGATCAATACTCCGAATTCAAGGGCTTGAAATAATTTACTTGAGATACTGTGTGGGGGTTGTTGAAGGAAAAAATGTCCATATGACGAGAAAAAATGAGGATACTAAGACGAATGTGTGATCAAACTGAAATGGAGAAAGATAAGAATTGATATAGTCTCGTGAATGATGCAATCATTACAAATAGCGTGCCTCCGGCCTATCCGCGTATTGTTTTGTTTTACGCCGCGTAACTCTAACAAGTGGAGGTAACATTAGTTGAGGATAGATTAGCCGATCCTAAATTTATTGAGAACAAGTCTTAATTTATTTTTATCGAAGCTTGCGATAATAAGCGCACGGTTTTTGTAAGACAGTCTATAACATTAATCAGTAGTAACATTCACTACCAACCTTGTATTAGAAGGAAACATTAAACAACAAAACATGTTCTTTCTTGTTAAAAATTAAAGATCAGCCATCATAAAGTTATGAACTCATATACCAGTTGCTGATGCTGAATTTGGTTTGCTTCTCCTTTCTTTTCCATTAAGCTTGTTTTGCATCCAACTAAATATCTGAATGAATCATCACCAACTAAAATACATTATAATCTGTAAACCATGCACCATTAGATTATCAAGAGTGGGTTGTGAGATTTTAAGCCACTACCTTCATTTTGTAGTTGGAGACTCAGAATTGCAGAAATGGGGGATTTGTTGAGGGTGGAAAATGAGAAATTTTGTGTATACAACAAGTCCCACAGACCCAAAGGAAGGGATCTTTGGAACATTTATAATAGAGGGTGGGGTGATGGTGTGGAAGGGAGAGAAATTTCATAATCTAGCTGATAGAATTGGTTCAAGTTTCAAAACAATGGTTCCAGCCGCTGGTTTGGTTGTTTTTTTCTCTCATTTTATTGTTAAATTTTTTTAAGCATGAATCATTTTTATTTGAGTTTGCTACAGTGTGACAAGCTTAGTGACAGGGTAAAAAAATGGAGGTCCCGTGGCTTAATATCATTGAACAGTGAGAAAAAAAAAGTACATACATGTGCTGTTGACGTAGCACCTATCGTAGCCCTATTTTTAAACCTTGTTTGAGTAAAATTATTGTTTTTGTTTTATTTTCGCTTTATAAATTGCTTGTCCCTGAGGAGCTCATCTAGAAGTAAAGCAAACATGGAGCCTTGTCATGTCATCGAGCCCGACAACTATTTTAATTAGTTTCTATTAAAAGAAAAAAAGGGTTTTGTATGGATTGGCTAATGGTTCGATAGAGTTAGTCTTGACTCAACCGACATCTCTAGGTGGGACACAGACCATCGAGGTCTAGACTTAGACATTATTGGTCTTTTCCAAATGTAATGGGAAGGGGGGTAACAAGATTGAACTACAGAATGAAGTCCACAAACATGTTATTGAGATTCTTATTCAACCTTAGTGGGGGAAGTTGGAAATGCCCTTTTGAGATTATAACAAATTAGATTCTTTAATTCTTGAAAATCATCAAGACATTTATTTAAACTAGTCATAGTTGAACTTACAACACACGTTATCTGGAATGCTTTATAGGTCCAATATATATATATATTTGAAGATGCGAGGATATAAAAAATGATAAATACAAATTATTTATGTGGAATGAACTTATGATTCAAATGAAATAAATACAAGTTTGTGAAAACAATTTAAATAGATGAGGAAGTCAATTAGAATAGTCCCTCCATTTACCATTTTGATTTGAATTGAACATCCAACGTTTACCTCCTTATATCTTAACATTCATTAAATAAATCAATTGAAAGAAAACTCTAAAATATTCATATTTTGTTTCAAAACATTTTAATGAATTTAATTTACTATCCAATCAAGCGCAATGAATCTATCAAATGTACATTGATCATAAGTAGAAAATTGATAAAATAATTCATGACAATATTGTTCAAATGTAAATCAAATACATATTGAAAAACGAAAAGGTAATGAATTTGTCAAATATGGTTAAATAAATTAAATACCTATTGAAAATGAAAAGTGAGATGATGAATGTGTTAAATATACATTCATCATACCTAAACAGTTAACAAAATAATTAATGATAATATTGTTCAATTTGTTCAAATGATTAATAAATTAATTACATACTGATAAACGAAAAGTGGGGTATTATTGAAGGAATATACTACTTGTATATAATGTAGTGTCCATAACAGTATTCATCATTCTCTCATGGAGGAGGACCTACTTCAGATAAAATATCTATTATTCGAAGTGGGTTTCACTCCATGTGAGGAGGGTGGACACCCTGATGTACGTATAGCATTACACATTATTAAAATACTCTTTCCGTCCCATTTATATATATTTGTTTTGTTTCCCACGCAGATTAAGAAATTTTATCATTACTGAAATAATTGAATTATAGTAAGAATTGAATAGACCAAAAATGATTCTCAATTAATATGATATTTAATATATTATAGATATAGATATGTTCTTAAATAGCAACTGAAAATCTATGCCATATTTCTATTTTTCTAATAATTTGACAGTGAAAATCAAGGAAAGATGAAGAAAATGATGTACTCAATGCGCGGAACAAAGGATAACATAGACACATGAGATAATGTAGACTATTTATCTCTAGCTATCAGACTTAGAGCCTGTTTGGGAGTAATTTTGAGAATTGATTTTTTGACCGTTAGGAGAAAAGTGGGATCCACCTATGAGAGAAGAAGTCAAATATGATGGCTGAAATAGTGAAGTAACGGTCAAAAAATCAATTTTTTGGGGAAAAAAATCGATCCCAAACAGGCCCTTAGTAGATTGATTATTAGATTTTTTATTTGTACTTTCATTAATTGGAGGTCATATTTTGAACTCACCGTTGAAACCACTTAGCATACAAATATAACCTATAAATTGCCCCCCGGGGCATAGTCCAATGGTGCAAAGGAAAGGAGTGATGTTATCTCACGCCTTGCTGACAGCCGCAATGTGAAGGTTCAATTCCTGAGATATGAAATTAGAATTCTTGTATGCGCAGTGTACAGACAACTATAATTCTCTGGCTTGTTGGGGTACATCCCGCAATTTACCTCCCTCACAAAACTTTAGGGACGGGGCGGTGGAAGTCCTCAAAGTTGGAGTTCAACCTTTTTTTTATAACCTAAAAATTTAATTATTTTCAGCACTTCAAATTGAAATCCCTTCTTATTTAGCCATCACTGCTAGCTTAGGTGGCGCTAATGCGAAATTAAATGACATGTGAAGTTAAATGACTCACTTAATTTTATATTTTATTTAGCCTATTATCTATTATCACTTAAACTTGGGTTGTTACCCAGTGGGTCACATATGTTTAGTCTTTTTCAAAATCCCTAAATTCCATGGCCTTAACCCGACATTCCTTACTGGAGGCTCTCCCTCAATACCGCCCATGCACGTGAACTTGTCTATTCCCACATGGGAATTGGGATTTTGTCATTTGGACACAAAATTGAAGCAACAATCTGTATATGTCTGGACATGGAAATAAACATGGGAATGGGCATGGGAATATTTCTACAGCAACTTGGCCAGATTGGCCAGGGACCCTTTCTACGCGTCAACCTCAGACATTTTGATTGATGCTCATCATCTCTATTACTCCAACACGTGTTTTTTCGGAAGATTCATTCTTAACTATCTCCGAACTCGATATTCCATCGAGAAAATCATTGGAAGACATTAATTTCTTTATTTTTTGTTGGAAATTCGAGCCCCTGAACTCTTCTCCAATCATCTGCATGGAGCATACCTTTTTTAGCTTCTATCCATGGAAATGTTCCTCACGTACATCCCAATTCAATTAAATAACAAATCACAGATTTCTATATAATATCTTTATGGACTGTAATAGAATTTGTATTGATAGTCAGCCTCTAGATTTGTGACTAATTAATATAAAAATAATAAACCACAATCTAATTAGATTTATAGCCTGTTTGGGAGGGATTTTTTATCCAAAAAAATTGATTTTTTTACCATTATTTCACTATGACAGTCGTAATTTTTGACTTCTCTCACAAGTGAACACCACTTTTCTTCTAACGGTCAAAAAATCAATTTTTAAAATTCCTCCCAAATGGGGCCTTATTCTTGATACATTTGGATTCGACCACATGATCATTTTACTATGAATAATGTTATTTAGCACCATTGATACTACAATACCAGTCTAGATGACGCTAAATGATAGGCTCAATGAAAAGTAGAATTAAATTATTCATTTAATTGTACCTCTCATTTAATATTACATTAGTGCCACCTAAACCGTGTTTTAACACGTGTGACGCTAAATAACATTAATGTTCTACAATATACCATTTTTATCTTTGCTAGGATTATTAAGACATTACATTATAATTGATATAGGTTGGTAGAGGAAACCGCCCTCGACGGCAAGCAAGATGGATCACAGTACTTCGACGCGAGGTCGTCGACCCCCTAGGGGCGCTCCACCACTACCTCCAGGGGGCACTCTATCACTACGCGAGGTCGTCGACCCCCTAGAGGCGCTCTACCACTACGTGAGGTCGTCGACCCACCTAGAGCGCGCTCTACCACTACGCGAGGTCTACAACTGGCATGAGACTGCCTATCCAAACACTTAACCATAAAAACTCCTAGTGAATTAACTAGGTTCCATGGCCGCTAATATGGAAATAATCTCCAGGCGGGAAACTAGAGACCCCCCACTCAGAACGTGGGCATAGTGAGAACGACAACGTGGGACACGTGGCACCACATCCGCCCAGCGGTTATCCGGCCCCTAATGTCTATAAATACCTCCGAACGCGATACAGGAAAAAGGTTTTCTCTCTCTCTCTATCTCTCTTTTTCACCATTAGAATTCCAATCACATTTTTTCAAGCCTATAAACTAATTCTCACACCGGAGGTAAAACGGGGGAGGAAACCCCGCCTTCATTTTTCAGGTCATATATACTGGACGGAGTAGACGAAACGCCGAGCACTACCAGGCAAATAGGAGGGTGTTGGTCCACCACCATCTCATTGGCGCCACCTGTGGGAACCTATTTGAACTAAAAAGCCATGTCAAGAAGACGAACAAGGAGTGATACTCGTCTGGTTGGGAATACGGCGGAGTCAGAGTTAGTTGCAAGGAGACGTGAGCCGCCGTCGCCCCCGCAGTATGTGACGCAGAGTCAATTTAGCTCTTTGGAGACTCAGTTGGCAGCAATGATGGCACTCCTACATGACCAGTCGCAGAGAGCCACCGTCTCTCCATTGAGCCCGACGAAAATGACGAGCAAGCAACCGCCACAAGCGCCACCCGCGGTTGTCTCGCCCATCTCTCGGCGGGGGTGCGGGAGATGCGGGAGCCCCAGAAATCGAAGCTCAACAGTCCCCGCAAACCATGGTAGACCTGGAACAAAAGATTGAGGAAATCATGGCCCAGAAGATAGATGATGCCTTGTCCAAGAGAAATGATAGGCGGAGACAGATGGTTTTGGAGGAAGACCCGTTCGCAAAAGAAATCATGGTTGTCCCCTTGCCTAAAGGTTTCAAACAGCCCATGATAGAAGCATATGACGGAGTCACGGACCCGCTTGACCACTTGCGAACCTTTGTAGATCTGATGAGACTTTTTGCCGCCCTGGACGTGGTGATGTGCCGATCCTTTCCCCCCACACTCAGGAGGGAGGCTAGGGACTGGGTAGCGACCTTGACCCCGCGGTCCATCAAGTCATTTGATGAGCTCTCCAAGAACTTTGTAGCTTACTTCCTAAGCAGTAAGAGAAAGAAAGACAGCCATTGGGTTGATGCAGGTCATACAGGACAAGGACGAGTCATTGCAGGAATACTTAGCTAGGTTCAGCCGGACAACTCTCGGCATAAGAGACCTGCAAATGTCTGCAGTGGTTACCGCCTTGATGAATGGAACGCGAAATCGGGCCTTTAAGATGTCACTTTCCAAGAACCCCCAGAATCGATGCATAACCTATTGAAGAAGGGAGACAAGTATGTCGATGCGGAGGAAGCAGAGAAGATAACTAAAAATCTCAGGGATGGAAGGGAGGCAGAAGTTCATAAGCGAAAAACATATGACGAGCAAAAGCACACTAATAAGAACAAGCTGAAAAATGAACGCATGAACAAGGGTTATGCCCAAAACCGGCCGGTTAGGCAGAAGCAAGAGGAGGTCAAGACCCCACCCTTTTGAACATTCCACGTACAAAGCTATTAATGGAAATACAGCACATGAAAAAGCTCGAATGGCCTAAACCGATGCTAACTCCTTCCGACAAGAGAAATCAGAGTAAGTACTGTCATTTTCATAGAGATCACGGGCATGATACCAAAAAATGCCTACAATTAAAGGAAGAAATTGAGCACCTGCTAAGACGGGGACTATTGGCTAGGTATGTGAAAAATGACAAGAGCAAGCAAAGGCTCGAAGGTCTACCCCCACCGAGGGCAGGAGTGATAAACATGATCATCGAAGGAATAGCATCAGGCGGCGACTCAAATTCGGCTAGAAAAAGCTATGCGCGTTCCGCAGGGGTCTGCTCTATTCAGAAAAAAACAAGATTCAACCAGAGCATTACTTTCGATAAAGGGGACTTGATTGGTGTGACGCATCCCCATGATGACGCCTTAGTAATAGTAGGCGATATAGCGAATTTTGACGTGAAAAGGGTGTTAGTCGACGAAGGAAGTGCGGCAAATGTCCTCACCTGGGATGTCTTCTTGGGTCTAAAAGTTCCCCAAGAGAAGTTGAAGATGGTGACTACCCCCCTTTTATAAACACAAAAATTCTAACTTTTGGAGGGAATTTTCCCTCCAATATTGGGACCATTGGTGGGGTGCCATGTGTGCAGTAAAATTACCACTCGATCGTGTTTACATTGTTCGACTTATTAATACGAACTACTCCTCTGTTAAAAAATAAAAATAAAATAGAAAAAGAGGAAAATTTTCAAACCAACCTAAATAAAGAAAATTGCTACCCCTTGCCGAGAACATCGACAAGGGATAGGGGGGCTAATGATATAGGTTGGTAGAGGAAACCGCCCTTGACGGCAAGCAGGATGGATCACAGCACTTCGACGCGAGGTCGTCGACCCCCTAGGGGCGCTCCACCATTATCTCCAGGGGGCGCTCTACCACTACGCGAGCTCGTTGACCCCCCTAGGGGCGCTCTACCACTACGCGAGGTCTACAACTGGCATGGGACTGCCTATCCAAACACTTAACCATAAAACTCCTAGTGAATTAATTAGGTTCCATGGCCGCTAATACGGAAACAATCTCGAGACGGGAAACTAGAGACCCCCCACTCAGAACGTAGGCATAGTGGGAATACCAACATGGGACATGTGGCACCACATTTGCCCAACAGTTATCCGGCCCCTAATGTCTATAAATACCTCCGGACACTACACAGGAAATTTTTTTTTCCCCTCTCTCTATCTCTCTTTTTCACCATTAGAATTCCAATCACATTTTTTCAAGCCTATAAATTAATTCTCACATCGGAAGTAAAACGGGGGAGGAAGCCCCGCCTTCATTTTTCAGGTCATATATACTGGACGGAGTAGACGAAACGCCGAGCACTACCAAACAAATAGGAGGATGTTGGTCCACCACCATCTCATTAATCAACTAGGTACCATATATCATGTTAATTTTGTTCCAAGCCTTCTTTTAATTGGCTTTACCAAAATCACATCACCCTTGTCAATTATGACATCCTTGAGTCAAACGCAAAATAAGACCCAATCACCTGAGCCTTCCTTAAGGTAATTTATTCTAAACTGACGTAACATCTAAAGTTCAAATGTATTCCCTTTTTTTTTCTTTCTTTTTATTATTATTATTATGCCTATTTCAGCCCTTGTTAAGTTTAGATCGGTACTCTAACAATACGTTTCACGAGACTCATAATTTTTATTAATTTTTTAACAATACATTTCATCAACTTCATCAAAATTTACTAAAAATCTAATTTTTAACAAAATCAAATCCGAGCTTAATACGACCACAATGACTACATTTATGACTAATTAATATCATCACAAACATTAATAACATTCAAAGGCTCCAATCTTGGTAATCCAACATTTCAAAAGAAGTAAATGTCAATCATGCATGCTTACTTAAGAGTCTTTAACCAATCAGGAACAGTCTTAATTAAGCTACAAACATTTTTATTTTGTGGTCCACCAACATTCTCGTATCATGCATTGACATCTTCACTCTAATCATTTGTGCACCTAGCTAAAAGTCTACTAACGATAAAAAGAGTGAAATGGAAATAGTTTTATTTGGTAGTAATTTGTATAAGAACAAACTTTGAATCTGTTTTGGGAATGTGAAGTTTAGCCCCTTTGTGAAATCCCAGTTAGGACCTTATTGAAAAAAGTCAAAAGTTTGAACACTTAATTGAACACCTTTTATTTTCCATGGACTTAAGGTGAAAATGTTGAAAAATTTTGTTTAGCTGAGAAATTATGAACTTATGACAAATATTAGTAATAAGAGTTTTATATTTTAAAGATTTGAAAACAAGATTTTGATACTTATTCGGCAAGTTTAGATGATCGATCAAGGACTAGCAAATTTTAAATAATTGAGAAACAATACTTTTTGTTCAAACTGTCATTTTTGGATAGAAAATATATTTGTGATAACTAAATGAAAAAAAAATGGCAAAAATGACTTTTATCAAATTTGGTGAATTCACCATCAAAATGGAGCAAAATTTGGTGTTGGATTGAAGTGACATTGTACAAAATATTTGATGCAAAATGAGGAAAAATTGTGTTTTGGTGATCAATCTTGCTGCATGTATATCTCTCTTTACACTTTGATTTAACGAATTTACATTTGGCACGATCTCACACCACTTTTTACATCTCAAACTTAATTCAACTATTTTAAAGTTGCTACAACATCTATCTGTCAATCAAGTGGTGAATGAAGATGTACAAAGAGCTTTATCCTTTCGCGATAGTGTTGGAGTGACATTGTACCAAATATTTGATGTAAAATGAGGAAAAATTGTGTTTTGATGACATGGTTGGTGTTGCCTCACTCGCAGAAGTATCTCAGTGGTTTGCTCAAAAATTGAACCTTCTCCAAACCTTAGCAAATGATAGCTTCAAGACCAAGAATCAAGGCCAATCACAAAAATGTTGGAAAAATTGGTTTTAATTAGTTGGTTTGACCAACTTTTGACCAATTAATTTAGTGGGTCCCATTAATCGGAAATAAGATTTCTTTGGTCGAATGTGTTATACTCCATGAGTAGATTAATATGATATATTTATTTTTTCAAAATCAATTTAGGGTGAATGAGAAATTAAGGTCAAAAGATACCCATTTATGTTGAAATAAAATAGGTAGGAAATTGGAAAATACCAATCCCACATAGGAAAACTAGAAGAATATAAACTACCTTATATAGCTCAAGTTTGGGACTTGGGTTTGGATCCCAAGGGGTACCAATAGTTTTTGAGGGGGAGAGAACCTACATGCTAGTAGGTTAAGTCAAAACCCACACGCGAGCACCGCCGCTGCCGTCTGTCCGACCGGCCGGCTCGGCTCGGCACAGCACGGTCACGGGTCGTGGGCTTGAGCCAAGCTGATATATATTTTTTGGTAAAATAACATTTAATTATATTATTTTATTATTATAATAATAATATATTTTATGTTATTAATTTTTTTTCTTCCTCGAATTTTCTGTGTGTGACACGTGGTACGATACTTCTAAAATTTAGCGGGTTGTGGCGGTTGACTGTCTAAACCATTTGTGTCTTTTGGACACAACTTTTCGACAGTTGTATCTGTTGGGACACAACCTTTCAACATCTATAAATAGGCCCCATACCCCGATTTTTATTCATTCCAAAAATCAGAATTGATTTTCTACTCTCCCGAAATTATCCCTTTGTCCCTGTATAATTTCTATTTTTATAATTCAGTCCTCGAAAATTATTTTTTCGTGCATTTCAGTCATCCAATGTGTATGGAGAGATCTAAACTTTACGGGTTCGTCGGGTATTGTAATTTGGAGTACTACTATTACAAGACGAGGTCGTTGTATCTTGGGAAACGAGTGCTGCAATACCGTTAGTACCAGTACGGGACATTATCGTTTTAAGAAGAAAGAGTCAAACTCTTACCTCGACCATTCAAAACCATCCAAATGTCGTTTCTCTGCCCAAATATACACACACTATTATTTGCTTATATTTTTCAACAAAAAGACGCTAAGCGACATCTTTGTTGTAAGTCACGATTTTTTATTTGTGAGAGAGCCCCAACGTGTCAATTTGGCCGAAACGTGTCCAATTCTAACGCAAATCTGCATGGTGCTGACAAATAAAACCGTTTCCTCGTTACTAAATAATCAAATACTCGTTAAGGAAAAAAATCTTCTCAAAACTTTTGCGCAAACAAAATTTTCCAAGTCATTCTGAAAATCTGAGGGTGGAAGTCCACTGGCGGAAGAACTGACTCACTGGTGAGAGTATATTGTTTCTACCCAAAGGGCTTTGTCTTTTCCATTTTTTGTATTGAGATTTAATTATACAACATAAATTGACACTATCGTGATGCAGTTCGCAAAATTCTTACTGGGTTTTTTGATTTTCAATGGGGTTAAATAATTATCTTGATTAAATGGTAGATAGTTTCATTAAGAAGCTCTATTGAAACATGAAATGCGTATGGGCTGAGCTTGAATAGTTGAATACATTGAAACTTAATCACTTCCTTACAAGAAGAAGGATTTCAGTAAATGATTACTGATTTTACTTCAATAATGAGATTGTTTTATATATTTTTTAATGGTAGTTTAAAATGTTTTTTGAGTCATTAACTATATTAAGCCTTCTCAGGGAAAACAGTATTAATGTCCACCGAATAGAAAATGCTCGATTTGTACATCATATTGGTAGATGGACAATTCTGCTTAATATTTCAACATTTTAGGTTGTACTAATTCTCTCATGGATTGTGTGGTGCACTGATTTCTAGGAGAGGATTGATTATATTATATGTTCTTTTGATAGCTACAACTAAAAGAAGGTTTCAATGACATTACGAATCAACATTAATGTGAAGATAGAAGAGGGGTACCAAATCATGCTTACTTTATTAGTAGGGGTGTCACTAGATACTGATATGATAACTCATTTATACAAGCTAGTGAATAACCTGAGAACACGAAACATTAAGGTAATGGAAGTTATTATTACTAGACAAGAAAAATAGGCAATTAAAATGTAAGTACCTCCAGAAGTATTTATATCTAGGTGAAATTGAATATGTTAAAACTAAGTTACTTGACTAAGAATAGTCGAGCAGATTTCCCTCATTCCCTGCATTCGACGGTTCTTCATGACTCGATCAGAACATATATGAAGTCTTATTTTTGTCATTCTGGTTCTTTATCGTTTTATCATGCTCAGCATCAAAGCATAAATGTGTGTCTTGGTCACCTGATTCCCGTATTTGTTTAATTTTTAACAGGGTAGACCCTCTAAGATTGAACAAAAGTGGAAGAAGTTGGTTGTACAGCTATGCATCTGACATGGCAGCATTCTACTTATTACTATATGAAAATAAATATAAAGATCTCTACTCGCCTGTCCCCATTGTGGCAGGATGCTTTGTTTTGGTAGCACTGGTCCTTTCCCTCTTCCTAACTTACCAACATCTCAGATCATACACCAACCCATCGGTTAGTATTTGCTAATAATGATCTATATCAAATTTGTTAAAACAGATATTTTTAT